CTCAAAGATCAGTTGTTATGTAAAGTGGGTCTGTTTCCAGTCTTGTAAACAGTTTCAGTGACCCAACTGTCTGTTCTCACCAGTGCTACAATATGCTTATTACTGTGGATTTAAATCTTAAAATTAGGCAGGACCATTAGGTTAGTCGATTTGGTCTTTTACTTTTCACTATAAATCGTAGAATTAGCTTGTTAACATGTATGAAATAACTTACTGATATTTGAATAGTGTTGTATTGAATCTGCAGCATTACGTTCAGAAGAGATAGCCTGTTGACATAATTGGATCTATCTATGATCATAGACAAGCTCACCTGCAGTGGGTATTCACTGTACATCTGTTTACAGATTATTTATTTTTAAGCTATTTAAGTTGAAAAGAATTAAAGGTTAATAATTACTCATGCTTGCCATCCTTATAGTCATGTTAGTTTGATTTTCTAGATATACAGAAATATGTCACATGGATAGGCAATCTTCAAGCAATTCATAAATCTAGACAACATGACATGTAAATGTTTTAATAACTTATAATTCTGTTGATGTGAGACATGATTGCACCAGTTCACTCATAAGAGGATGGTGGGCCTTGAAGACACTCCATATGAAATTTGTCTTCTTGGCAAAATAGCCTGTTCGGCAAAGAACTGCCCTTGCTTTGCCTGCTGACAGTAAGCATATTGTCAATTCTCGACCAGCAGGACACAAGTAAAAGCGTCTACTGAACCTTGCCAAAACAGGGTAGTACAGTCTTTCAAAATTCCTGTTTCTGAAAATGGTCTGTCAGATATTCTAGGTCTGTAGCTAAAAGTGGGTGCCCAACATTGCAGAGAAACATCTGGTGACTGTCCAGGCAGCCAGATGTCTCTGCCACTTCTTGCATTTTTCAGAAGTTGCTTGCTTGCACTTCCTATTTACACAGGTAATATTATTTTCCTTTTCAGGACTTTGATGGTGTTGAAGACTAGATAGTCACAGTTACCATCCTTTCATATCTTTACTAAAAGGGTATCGAGTATTAAATTCAGATTCTTCATGAATAGGACAGTTATTGGACTACTCTCTCTAATTTGCAATTTACCTATGACCTTGAAATTTAGTATGAGTTTCATACTTGACATTGTTCTTGTTGGTTGTAGTTCCATCTTGTTTGTTACTACCCTTTTTTTTTTCTCTTGAACAATACTTGATAATTGTTCTTATTGTATAGTTTCGTATTAGGTTTAGAACTTCCTTGTTTAGACAAAAAGGGGAATCTCTGTCCATGATCTTGGACTATCTGGTCCAATAGAGGTGATGCTTCTTGTCTGCTGACATGATCTCTTACAGGGAAGGGGGGTGGTCATTCTCTCTTGAGTGGTGAAGACGAGGCAGTGGCATTAGGCAGACTATGATTGGTCCCCAGCTTTCTAAGGACTCTGCAACTAGATCTATCATATCCTCTATTTGTAAGCGTATTTCCCCCTTTTATCTCTTAATAAATCCTTGATATCCCCTTAAACAGATGCTTGTGGATTTCTGTTAACACTAACTATTTATTTATGTCCGCTTTTATATCCTCCATAAGAATTTTGCAGTTTTCCTCAGACTGATTTTATATGTATTGCTGTTAGGTTGTTTTTTTAACTAATTATATCATTGCTTTTAATGTCATTTTAATCAGTTGTGGTAAGTCATTTTCACTGGCAACTTAATTGGATTGAGAAGTGACTAAGAGATTGGTAAAGCACATCTGTAGATGTGTCTGTGGTAGAAAGCATTTCAGGAGTTTGTGTATAAATGAGACCATAACTTTTAAGGACACATTTCTTCATCAACACACCATCAACATATCCTTGCGTTTCTCAGTTACAACTTCATGACACCAGCAGAACATATTTCCAAGTGTTCCTGTTTACCAACTGAACCTTTTGAACATGTGTTACATCACCTTTATATAAGCATGACCAAAATTTCACCCATCATTCTTCCTTCTTGATTTGTGTCAAATTAAGCATGTGTACAAATGTACTCCTTCACTGAGCATCTTCTGGAATATGAATGGCCCTAAAATGTAATCTTATATGAGTCTGTCCAGTCTTCCCAAATAAAATTGCCACAATTCTGTTCAAGAGAGTATTGCTTTGGAAATCACACTCACGTTCCACACTCTGCTATCAATACTATTTCTTCATTCATTTGCTATTTATTGTCTATGATTGCTTTGGCTTTGTAAGCATCAAGATGAGAACACATTGCATTTCCTTATGAGAGGACTGACTAAGTGGATAAGACCAACCTTGAATGTGGGCATTCTGATTCATAGGCTAGAGGCCTGGCTGGAGCAAAAGGGGGAAAATATGGAAAATTCCACTAGTGTAATGTTCTCTCCTGGCCTCCATGAGGTGAGCTAATCTGCCCCATCATAACCTCTCTGCTATTGTGCACAGAAACTCTAAAATTGTGAGCAGATTTGCCCTGTATTACTTATTTCACATTGTGATGGTTCTTATTGCCAACTTGATTGTATTAGTAAATAACGGGGGGATTTAAAAACTAGTAAATAATTAGGATCCATAGAAAACATTTGAGGATGGTTGTGAGGATATTTACAGAGACAACTGGATCATGAGACACTGACTTACTAACTGGAATAAGACCTTCATTGGTATAGAAAAGAAGGTAGAAAATAAAGCCTAACTCAGGAATGAGTCAATTTGTGTTTGGGAGCTGGGCCTTCTCTGATCTAGTCCTGTATTTCCTGTGTGATTTTGGTCTGCCATAATATAACCCTCTCTGCATGCTGACCTTCCTGTGACAGACTGACCTCTGACACTGTGAACCACAATAAGTAATTTCTCTTCTTAAATTAGTCAGTGACACGAAAAGTAACTCATAGAGAAAACAGATACCAGTGAAGTGGGGCCACTGTTGAAATTAAACCTGTGCGTCAGGCCTTGAAGCAGAAAGAATTTAGATGAGTCTGGAAAATGATGCAAGAGAAAACATAGGATACTACAAGTAGAGCTTGGTGTGTGATTCTGTTCAGAATGCAGAAAAGCCAGTGGTGAAAGATATGTGGACCACAAAGACTATGGTTATGAGGTTTCAGACAGAAACGAGGACTCTTGAGAAAAGAACTATAGTCTGTTCATGCAATATGCTGTCAAGGAATTTCTCTACAATTTGTCCCTGCTCTGAGATTTTGAGTGCAACTGAACTGAAAAGTAAAGGTCTAATTTTTCGGATTGAATATTGTGTGCCACTCTCTGAGGGAGATATAAATAAATGTTAACACACCACAGATAGGAAATTGAAGGCGAAAATATGGACAGCGACACAGTCTAACTTGGTAAACCAATGAGTTTCGTTGGGGTTACTTACAGGTATGGCAAAGGGTTACGTGCAGTAGAAATGACTCAGTGCAGTGAAGAGAGAGGGTCCAAGTGTGTGATCATGGGGGATGTAAAGGCAAGGTCATAGTGGTGAAAATGGGTAAGGCCTCTGAGCCTTGCAGCATAACTCTTCCCCAGTTGCTTCTCGAGGAGCCAGAGGACCGCAGTCTTTCCCACTGAGTTTCAGTTTGCTATGCTCTGATCCTCCATTGCTCCTCTCCTATTTCTCCCTCTCAGATTGGGAATTTCTGCCTGTGCTTTAATCAATCAGTGATCTGTCAATCAATCAATTTTGTGTGCTGGAGGTTGTACCCATGTGTGCCATAATCTATGTGGGACCCAGAGGACAACATATGGGATTCGGTTCTCTCTGAAGGTTCTAGAGACTGAACTCAGGCTATTAGGCTTGGTAATAAGGGTCTTTGCCAGCTGAGCACATCTGGCTGGCCCTGTGTCTAATTTTATAGGGGATTACAGTGTACAGTCAGCCATAATTCTCAGAGGAACCTTCAGACTTGAATTTTTGTTATTAAAACCCTCAGAAGTATGAGGAATCAAAAAGGATGAATTTCACATTAGGAGATGAAAAGAATCTCTTGGGGGCAGGTGGTAGATTGCTAGGGTTTAAAGATGCGTACTTGGATATCAAGTTGGTAAGGTTTGCTCTACAGTGCTGAAAGGATTCACTACAGTAGAAAATTCTCTTGCCTTTGAGCGGTATATAGGGGCTGGCAGCCTGGATGGAATAAGAGGGAATGAAAGCCTAGAGGGCCTTCTTGAACGCTACTGTGGTACCACGACTCTCTGGTTTTAGGAGGTGTTCTGTTGATTCTTTCAGATTTGCTACAGGACTGTGCATTTCATTTGGGAGTGAGACAGCTTTTTCCTCTTCTGTCTCATTTCTATACCATTTCCTCTCCTTGTCCTTTTGTAAATTTTGCTCTATTAAGATGTTGAAAAGGAAAGGTAAAAGCAGAAGACTGAAATACTTTAAATATTGGACTGCTAGACAATATATTACATGTCTGAAGAAGGCTTTCTGTTTCAGACAGGGCCTTCATTGAAGAATGGGAAGGGATCTTGTCTGAGACACTTTCATAAGAGCACTAGCTCCATCCCTGAAGTTGATGCTCTCAAGATTCAGCAATTTCCCAGAGGCCCTATCTCCTTATTATCACCTTGAGCACCAGACTCGGCGAATGAATTTGGGAAGGAGGGAGACCAACTTCAGACTGTAGCAGTGGGTGCTTTATTTTTATTCCCTCAGTGTAGATAACTGAGACACAATCAAATCAAGCTAATTGTCAGGTTCACATAGTTAATCACTGGCAGAGAACAGGGTCTGAATTCAAGTAATTAAGTTCATTTAAGGCAGTGTGTGTGCCTCTGTGTGTGTCTAACATACTGCATTATCTTAAAATTGTCTCTCTAGAGGGGAGATGAACCAGAACTTAATGTCTGCCAATACGTGTAATGTATGTAGCACTGTCGTGTACTATACTGCCTCGGCCTCATGGAATGAAATTAAGCTACCCTGCATTGTCTGACATTTATTTTACTACAACTCTGGTTTTCTTTTCGACCTTATTTACAAATGAACAGAACAAGCCTTAATTATAATGAACAGAACAAAAAAAGATGAGAAATGTCGGTTTTATTTAGAAATGGAAAGAAGTATTTTGACATTCATGGTGCTCAAGGGTTTTACACAAGTCAGAAAGAAATGAGATCGATTATAAGCAATTAGAATAACTTTGTTTACCTCTATTATTTCTAAGATTCTGATTTTCTTAAAAATATTATATGTCACCATTCACATTATAGAAATAAGATTTTAATTAGAGAAAATAAATGAGCAAACACATCTAATGCGCCACTCGGAAAGGTCACAAGTTTAAATCAAATGACCAATTCTTAATGCAGTATCCGTGCACTGGAACCATAAATAACTTTCCTCCCCTTAACTCAGAGGCAAATAGGTTGGACACAGCAGCTCCGACTTCCATTATATCCACGCTGAGTGTGGTCATTTTTTATCCTTTAAGTAGATGTGATTTCCTCAGTAGTAAAATATGACTTTCTTTTTCTAAAACTGGCTGACCCTAGGTTATATAATAAAACAGAAATCACGGAACACTTATTCAGCACAATTTTGAGGACCTCATCAACTCATCTTTTTTTCTTTTTTTTTTTTTTTTTTTTTTTGGTTTTTCGAGACAGGGTTTCTCTGTGGCTTTGGAGCCTGTCCTGGAACTAGCTCTGTAGACCATCAACTCATCTTTTAATTGTGTAAGAGAGTTGAAAACCTACTGCATAATATGTGACAAGTTTAATAATCAAGAAAACAAACCAAAAGCCTGGGATCTTAACCAAGAATTGACCAGAAAAAAATGACAAAAATACATTAATTTCTTTTCAGAATTGCTTTCCAATGAAGATGTATGTCAGCAATAGATATATTCAAATAAGCTTGAATTGTACAATTTTAATTGTACTATTAATGGCCCTAGATTAACTTTCTTGTTCTTGGGGTTATATTCAACCACAGAACATCAGGACTCATGATATTTGAAAGAAATGTTCAATAATTTAAAATTATGGGCTTTGAAGATATATTGCCTGGGTACGAAATATCAACTAAAATACACTGTACCTATCATTTACCGTCTAAAGTCAAAAGAAATCACTTGATTGTTGATCTTGAAGATAGATATTTTTGTAAATATAGTACAAATGTCTATTTTTAATTAAAGACAATACAATAAGTCAAGGTCTCCTAAGAATACTTTGAAACAGGAGGAAATGTGAACTTCATGAAATATTTAATATTTTGTGTGAAGTATTCTGTGTCACCTGTTAAAACTTGCATTAGTCACCATCTGAATATTTTGTTTAGTTACCATTTAGATGATTTAGATGGGCGTCCTAAATAAGGGCTATTTTCATCATCTCCTGGCTCAACTCAAAACTAACAATCTCACCTGCAAACAATTAGCGTGTCACACTGTCATCAAAGCTGGAAGACAGAATAGAAGGCATGTCCGAGACAAAGAGCTTGCTTGCTCGTCCCACCCCATGGTTTTAGAGGATCAAATGAGAGACAAACAGGACCAGGGATGGAGTGCCTTTGGGAGCTAGCCTGGCTTTGATCCACCCGTGGCACCTCCTTTCCCTGGTGTCCGAGTGTTCATTCCAGAAAGAGTCTACAACGTGGGCATGACACATGGTCTTGAGAAATCTCAGTCTTTTATTAGGGGCTGCAAACAAAGCCACCTGCCGTTTTCTTCACAGAGAAACAGAACAGTATTAGACACAAACAAATGTGCCCTCTCGCGGGGGGCGACTTCTCAGTCTTGTAAGATTTCTGCTCCAGGAACATCCTTGAAAACAGTTCCTGAATACACGGCAGTACCATGCTGGTGTGAATGCTTTTTTCCCCCTGCATCGTCAGGAATCACTAAATACAGGTGTATAGGCTTCTTTCAAAAAAAAAAAAAAATAGGAGAGATTCCTTAGGAAAACATCATCTGGAACTACCGGCAACACTTAAAAAACATTCTTAGAATGAATATTTTATCACCATCTTCCTGGTTATCTTTGTCTAAGCAGGAAAAGAAATTAATTTTGAGGTTTTTAAATAATCATATTATTTTAGAAGTGTTCGCAAAACTCTTTACCTGATTGGTGTATTTTATATATTAGTTAGGATAGTCTATACTGATTAATAATTTATTTCCACTGGGTACTGTCATGGATGTCTGCTCATTATAGTTTTCAAGGACACAAGCAGTTGGGAGCAGCAATCAGCATGTTGCCATGCTTGACAAAATACAAAAAAATCGGGGAAGGTCTCACACTCCAAATTCACTCAAAATGTATTTCCAGAACTACTTAGCCGCTTGTAGCAGATCAGAGGAAGCAAGAGCAAAACTACCACACGCAGGAATGTGGAGCTGGCAATGGTTCGTGGAAAGGATTCGGCGGGAGTAGCTTATACCATGGCTAGCAGAAATAAGAATCAACATATAAGAAGTCATTAGTGAAATAGTCATAGAAAATTATCCCAATATGAGTTAAGGCAATTATGTGAAGAATGTGAAATTATCACCATTTTTAGAACAGACTGAGGTTAATAGTTTTCTCCTCGTTTGTTGCGTTAGACATATACTCTTGAGTAGCGTTCATATGAATTCTCCGGGGAAATAATCTAGGTATTTCCTCTTTCTGACATCAAACACTTCCTTTGTAAAGGACCGTTACTAAACTGGGCTAAAACTATTTAGTATATCATGTAGTTTCAGCATTCTTATTAAACTGAGCTCAAATTTAAATACTCCAACTCTGTGCTGATAGTGGACATTTTGAAAGTGGCTTCCCAAGTAATTGGGATAGGTAGGATTGCCTAAGAACAAATATCATGGGTTATTTTCAAAAGGTAACAAATACTTGTGTATATTAATAAACATGAGCAAAGAAGTCAGGACTGCGAGGGGTGTGCCCACCCACTGTGACGGTGGAGCTGATCTAATGGGAGCTCACCAAGGCCAGCTGGACTGGGACAGATGGAGCATGTGATAAAACCGGACTCTCTGAACGTGGCTGACAAGGAGGACTGACTGAGAAGCCAAGGACAATGGCACTGGGTTTTGATTCCACTGCATGTACTGGCTTTGTGGGAACCTAGTCTGTTTGGATGATCACCTTCCTAGACCTGGATGGAGGGGGGAGAACCTTGGACTTTCCACAGGGCAGGGAACCCTGACTGCTCCTTGGACTGGAGAGGGAGGGGGAGGGGGAATGGAAAGGGGGGAAAATGGGAGGAGGTGGAAATTTATAATAATAATAATAATTATAATAATAGAAAAAAGAAAAAAAACAAAAACAAAAAAACACAAAAAAACAGTACTAACAGTGTTGAAAACAATATAATACATTCATCTTATTAATGACTACAGATTAAGCAATGATAATTTTGGAGTAAATAATAATTTTGAGAAATCAGACATACGGTGTCTCTGTACTTGTCTGTCATGAATAGTTAATATAGAAATTTGGAAAACAATGACAAGCTAGACAACATACTTATTGACATTTTCTAATGCAACCCCTACCTTGATGCAAGAGATTAGTAAAATTATAAAAAAGAATTCCTTATGTAAATTCAAAAGAGATGATCTATACTGAATATTAGTTGTCCAAAGACCAGAGATTTCTATGGATTAGTAACTTTCCCCTACTGAGTGCTCCATCAAAGAGAAATCCAAAAAAAAACCAAGTAACACTTATCAGCTTTTCATAATGTATAGAATAAAAACCATATATTTTAATAGCATTATTCCTGCTTAAAGCTATTAAAGAACAGTAGGTAAAACCAAAATGGTCACCTGTAAGGGACATATCAGTATAACATCAGAAATTCAATTGGCCAAATCCTCTGAGGTAGCATTACTATGTCCCTGGACCAGGCATGCCTGTGTACTCTGAGTACTCAAATACAGATATTGTATTACTACAGCATTGTGAAAATAAGTCCTCACTATAGACCTTTCTTGCCACATTGATTAGAAATTCAAATATCTCTTAAAGTTTCAAAAATACATCATACAAGTATGCATATTCATTCGCAAGTGGGAAACAGACCTTAAATAAAAATAAATAAATAAATAAATAAATAAATAAATAAATAAATAAAAATGTAGGTACAGAAATGTCACTGCAGCATAATTTATTTTTGCGCTTAACTCACACAAGAACTTGAAGACCACTATATGATGTCGGTGAGCAACTGTCCCAGCCCTACTTTCTTTCCTCTTTAAACGCACATGCTAACGGACAAGAGGGATTAGATGCAGTCTACTTTTTCTTCCATTGGCTGACTTTGTAGAGAATTATAAACCATGAAATGAAATTGAGTAAACGTTGGAAGTTTGTTGCAAGCAGCACCTTGAGTCAAACAAAGGAGACAGAGGGTTACTGGAGGCATGTACTGAGAACCAAGAAAGATAGCATTTGCCTAGACATTGGCTCTTGCATGCCTATGTTCACATAGTATATGTACGTATATAATCTACATGCTACCCTTTATAGTGGTAGCTGATGGTCATAAAAGAGGAGGAAATAAGGTGGTAATATAGCCTTTTAAAAACTTATTTTATTTTATGTGTATAAGTATTTGCCTGGATGTATGTGCCTGATGTCAAGGAGGTCAGAAGAAGACAGACATCCTGAAACTGGAGTACAGATGGCTGAGAGCCACCTTGTGGGTACTAGGACCCAAACATCGGGCCTGTTCCAGAACAAGTGCTCTGAATTTCTGAGTCATTTCTCCAACCCTTAACTCACCCCGGACCATCGGACAAGCAGCTGGTTCCCTTCCCCAATACACTTGCTGTCACTCCAGTATTTCACTCTTCCAACCCTTTCTTAGGAGAAATTACCAAAGCTTTTATTTTCCTAGCAACAAAAACATCCTCTTCCCTATAAGTCCTTTCTAAATGCCTGCTTCCTTCCACCCTGCTCTTCCACTCTCAAAGAAGGCAAGAAGAGTTGTTTGCCAATATGCGTTCTCTCTAAGTTTAGTTTCTGTTTGCACACCTGCGGGGGAGAGGTCTTTTTGCCATGACTTTATTAGGAAAGAGTCCAGTTTTAATTTTATAGTAAGATAATTAGTATCTTCCCACCCTGCTAAATGTAAATTTGGGCCTTCTGTGGCTTATCTGTTAAAAGAGAATCATTAAACTGCCTTATTTCATACATAAAGCAGCCCCAATAACTTTCTTTGACTCTTCTATCTCAGGACTTAAAAAAGAATGCGGAATTCTTCAAACGAGCTCTTCAAATACAAAAGTGTGGGAAGTAAAAGATCAAAGAACAGCAATGAGCAGTCTAACCTAATAAGCTCTATTGATTGGGAAGCTGCGCATATTCTCCATCTGAAAGCACAGTGCTGAGAACCAGCATGGTTGACCTTAAATGCTTTGCAGCTGTGATTGGCTCATATGGAAAGCAAACAGAAGAGGAGACATGCCAAGCACTGCCATGGCACCTCTGCTGGCCTGTCTGGCTGACTCAGTAGTAAACGGTTTTGTTCTGCAGAGCCAAGAGGATCGAAATGACTGAAATGTTTTAATGAATGAGAAAGAAGTAAGGGAGATTAACTTGTCCCCACCATCTCTAAGCAGTAAAAGCATCGGACTAAATTAGCCTGTCAACACGTGCTCCCGGCCAAAACTACACTTTTAAGATATGTGCAGAAGACAAGAACTGACAGCCCAAGAGTAGCCCATGACAACCAGCAGTCAAACAATATAAGGTTTTAAGTACATATTTCAACATTTTACAGGTATCGACAGCTCCTCATTGACGTTCACTCAGAACTTTACAGACCCCCTTTTCAGATAGAACACGGCATATTGCGTGCTCAGACATACAGAAGTGTGTTTCTTTTATAATCACTAGTAAATTCAGACAAACAAAAACACAGATCTAACTTACCAAAACTTCCTGTCACATTGGCACATATCACAGCCCCAAAGAATTCCGGATAATAATTCTGAATTCTTAAAATCACTCTCTGGCAAGCTGTGGATGGGTCGTCTCCTCTTCTCATATATTCTACAGCTTGGTAGCTAATTTAAATAGAGGTGACAACTTAATATAAGAGAATACAAGAAACACTAACTCCACCTTAGTCGAAGTTGACGTCAGAAAATCTGAACCAACCATACTGTCACACTTAGAATACCTATGAATGAACACGAGTCAGTAATTACTGTCACAGCCTTAGCATCAGGGCAAGCAAGCCCTGCTACAATGTCGTCTCTTCAACTCATCCACCGTTAATTTCAGACGAGGACGATTATTTTTGACTTTGGCTGAGTAACTGTCATTTTAGTAATACCAGTCAGAAGTCACAAATAGAGGTTACATTCGCATGGGGAAAGAAGCTACAATCTCAGGAGAAAATCCCGCACGTGTCCAGGACATCCAGCGGTAGTTTTTCTATTTTCCTCGGTCCCTTCACCATGGCCTTGCGTCAGTTCAGTAAACACATCATAAGCATTCTCCTCGATGAAGCACAGTGAGGCACTTTTCATTCCCCAAGATAATGGTGACTCAAGGGAATGATTACAAACGAACTAGCCACAACAACAACAAACCAAAATACCTTGCACGGTCTCACGAAAGTCTCTTCTGCACATGAATTAGGAAAACACGCTACAAACATCGACTATGTCCTGACATGACACAACTCTTCTAAGCATCTCTAAAATTGACCAAGGTAAGAAGTCACACCTAGGCAGGAAGCGCAGTAGTATGTCGCCGTCCCCCGTGGCTGCAGCTGCCCCAGCAGTGTCATCAGCATAGGCCCCGGCTCCAGGTACTGGTGAGTCTCCTACACGACTTGGTGCGTAGAGAACAGAACAGTTTAGAACAGGAAACCAAGGGTAAACTAAATCATGTTATGAACTCTTTCAAAATTAGGGGCTGTTTTCACAGCGCCACTGGTATCTGCTTTAAGTAGATTCCCCACTAGATTGCATTTCCGCTTGTTTATTAACTATAGTTTTCAGACAGCTATGTTAATTATATGACTTTCTTTTCAGATAGATGTGCAGTGTAACAAAACTGAACTATAGAAAAAGATTAAAATATTGGTTTGTCTATAGTAGAGAGAGGGTAGTTGGAGAGATGTGGGTTGGCAGAAAAAGAAAAGAAATTTTAATTAAAATGGGAGGAATAAATTCTAGAGATGTGCAACATTTAAAAATAATCATTTGATATGTAACCACTAAGAGCATATATTTTAAAAAGCGTGTGAGATAATACATAAGTTAAACAGCTTGGTTCAACTATTTTACTTGTTTACATATATGAAAATAGCACGTTTTGCTTCAAAACTACATCTTTTACTTATCAATTACAATTTTAAGCAAAAACCTGTCGTCAGTTTGTTGTATCGAATCACACAGATTTACAGTGACTGTTCTTTTATTACACTTTTCTTAATGTCTGCAGTACTTGAACAGTTCTGAATTATTTTCTTACACTGCTTCCTAAGTAAGGTGTCAAACTTTGGCCAGTTTCCCCTTTTAATAAACCTACTTAATGCCTTTGTTCTACTTAAAACAAAACAACAACCTCCTACATGCGCGCGCACGCACACACACACACACACACACACACACACACACACACACACACTGCACCTCTGTTCCAGCCAGCAGAAACCCTCAACCTGGAGTGTACTACTTGTATACACTGGCTGCATTGGCTGTGTGCTGCGTGTGCTCCTTCAGCCCTCTGTGTTCAGGTCCCAGTCTCCACTACCACTTGACTGACATCACTAACAACTCAGGATCCAGACTAACCCGACACTCCTGAACTCTGAAGCCCTGGCTGTGATGCTTGCTTTGGCCAGTCTCACATGGCACCATGCTTCTTTCACACTTGTCTGTTAGGGAAGGGTTTCAGTTTTGTATTTGGTACCCTATAGCAGCCCTCGCATATATAGCTTTACATTGGATACACAGCTGAGACGAGAAATCTGCTCTTGGGGAAACACTAACCCAGGTATTTTGAATTTTAAACCATTTGTAGATGTGCCCGCAGCGATATGTCCCGTCTTATGGATTACAACCATGCCTAGAAGTTAAAAAAAAAAAAAAGTAAGTACCCAATGCTTCCTTTAAATATAGCCAAATAATGGATCAGCTGATGACTGCTCTGTTTGAGGGATGTTTACAATCCATCAAGTCTATGATAGTGTGCTTTTACATACCTATTCTATTATGAAAATAAAGTATGTTCTCTCATTAATTACAGGGAGGATAAAACAAAAAATTAAGAATATTAAATTATACTATGCTAATGACTTGGTTTCATAGTAGCATTGGCCAAAAAAGCCAAGAAAAACAAAACAAAACAAAAAAACCCCAAACTCATACTCTTCCTCTTCAAATCTACCAGGTACTTTCAGTACCTTTTCAAAGGCAATTCTCCCCCCAAATCATTCATTTTGATTAAGAGAACTTGTCAATAATATAGCTTACAAAAATTATTACAAGTCATTTTATATAACAGCAAATTACATGAAATAATCAAAGCATTAAATATTAACAATTTGATAACCTACAATTTAATAGTCAATGGATATTTGGTGTATTGTGTAAGTAATTACAACACTTTATATAGATGCTAAAACAAAATTATATTTATATATTACAAACATGAATTTTTATGTGTTTAAGCTCATTATATATGTATATATGTGCATTTATATATAGTGATAGAAAGATACACATAAGAAGGGTGTATTCACTTGGCATTTAAAATAATGAAAGCTAACTAACTTTTAGAACATTAATAAAAATGAATATGAGCTACAGAATATCATAACTAAAATAATCAATAAAATTGTATAAAAAGTGAATTACCAATAGTATCATGACCATGGATGTCCACTTTTTTTTCAACAGGACTGCCCTTCTCTAAGACACCAGATGGTTTGTAGGGTCCACAGTATTTTGAAGGATCTGGTATAACTTTCTGTAAACAGGATTCAAGTGTTTTGGTTAAAAGGGTGTTTTAAGAATTGGCAAATAATTGTGTAAAACTGCTAATCACTGGTTGGAAACCAAAAAGACATCAGTAACTAAGAGCTCAAAAATTCACTTAATCTTACGTGAAAACTGAGGATTCTCAAAATTGCATTCTACTGATGAGATAGATACAAGACAAAGACCAAGCCGATGGATGCCCTCTTTATATACATACAATCCTTAGAATAATGACAGACATCAAGTTTTTTGTTGTTGTTGTTAAATTACATATTAGCCACAATGGAACAAGTACCTAGCCTAACCTTTATCTGTCACAATATGGTTCCCAGATGATAAATTCTGAGATTTCAAGAAAAATCTGTTTTAAAAGCATGTTTACTTTCAATCTAGGCTTATAAGGTGTCTAACTACAGGCATATGGCATTGTCAGCTCTAACCTTCACACTTGAGAACTGCCCAATCAAGTTATAATAAAACAAAACAATGCTGCCCCAAATATCATGTTGTAAGCATTTTATGAGTTTGTGTTTGGTACCTCACATCTTTGGCTCTCTTTAGCTTCCTGTAGCCTGCAAACCCTAGACTGACCCCTATGGTTGCAGCCACTATATAGTGGCAGTCTAAGACTCCTTTAAATATTAAAAGTACAGGAATACGCCAATACATTTAGATTGTCTGAACAGATTGGTATTAAGCTAAATACTTAATACAGGTTCAGTACCACTTATTTGAAAGGTTTCAGACTAGAAGTGTTTTGGATTTTTTTTTCCTTCAGATTTTGGAATTTTTATAAGTTCATGAGGTATCTTATGAGCGGATAGATGTCTAAGCATAAAATTCACCTATGGTTTATGCCTATCTATATGATTAGTCTGAAGATTATGAAGCTAGACTTTTAGTTGCACTTGTGATTTGATGGCAATTCATTGAATGAAGCAGCAGCATGGCCTTTGGAACTTGCACTATGGCATTTGCTGGTGCTGAAAGAGTTTTGCACTTCAGATTTTTAGTTTAGGGGTGCTCATTTTACTCACACCTATAACACTCATGCACAAGGTTACCATGCAGCTGTTTTATGAAGAATTTTTTTTTTTTGAGCTAAACCCTGAAAACTTTGGTAATTAGGGTCTAAGGAAAAAAACAGATTAGAGACTAAGAAATTTCAAAAAGGAATCTGTGTGGTGAATCTTCTGTGGAACAATCTTTGTACCCTGTAAATGTGTATTACTTTCATTGGTTAATTAAAAAGAAAGACTGGCTTTTAGTTGGGCAGTAGAGATTGGGTGGGAGAGACGGACTAGAATTCTGGGAAGAAGGGCAGAGTCACGGGAGATGCAAGCAGAGTTAGAGGAAGCAGGATGGGTAGAAAATGAGGTAGCAATCCACGAGCTATGTGGCAGAGGGTAGATAAGAAATATGGGTTAATTTAAAATGTAAGAGTTATCTAGTAACAAGCCTGAGCTATTGGCTGAGCATTTACAATAAATAAGTCTTTGTGTGGATATTTGGGAGTGTTGCCAGCACAGGAAAACTCAGCCTACAAAAATCAAACTGATTTATGCTAAAATTCCTAGTAAAGAAAACTGATCCCACAAATGACAAACCACAGACCTAGTCAAAATATGAGCAACGTGCTGCATATATTTCACCAGGATAATGTCTAAGAAATATTTTAGACTTTGGATCTTGTTTCATGAAAATGCAAGCAAAACAATGTTGATGATGTCTACTCCATTCATCACACACACAGTGAACCTTCAATTTACAAATTCCTGCCAGAGAGCAGGAGTCATCAACCCCAGGGAATCACTCAGCATTTTCAATTTGCTTTTGCATGTTGAATTTACATACATACTCTCCAATAATTTGGCTGGCAGTTCTGAGCAAGCCAGTCTGAATGAAGAGCTTTTGAGGCACTGGTAGATAAATTCTCATTGGTAAATCCCATGCTTTCAGCAAACTTGGTGGCTGGAGATGAAAGAGAAAAGTATAAGCCCATGCATTTCTAAGCAAAACCATGCACTACTGGCATTCTGGGTCAGCCATCTCTCACATGGGGAATGGAAAGGCGTCTGAGGCTTTTAACGGAGTGTTTGGATGTAAGTAGTTTTTAGGGAGTCATTTCTGGATTTCAGCTTCCCTGTGTCTTTTCAATCACTGATCTATTGGAGACTTTTGGGCCGAGTGCACATTTCTGTTACTGCCTTACTTCTGCCATCTCCCATTCCTATTCTGAAGCTCACCCCTGTCACCTCCAGAATTCTCTATCGCTCTAACTAGAGGAAAAAGAACCCAACAGACAAATGAATTCCAAAGACCAAAACACATCCTTCTCAGAGAGTCTGCAATTCTATTTCAAGCCTATTAAGGTTGCTTCATAAATATATTTATCATTATATATTTTTTTATTATAGGCTACTTTATGACCTTCCGCAATGGAACTTGGAAAGGACTCAAGGACAGTGTAATAGGAGTCTCATACCTGTAGGAAGACAACTGATAGTGACCCTGTTTCAATAGAAACCACTCACAGACAGATACTAACGTACTGTTTAAAATGCAGTCTGAAAGACAAAGCAGGATTTAGAAGTAACCTATCCAGCTAACCAGACATGAAATAAAACAGTTGTTAATTTTAACTTGGATCTCCTTTGATCTCTACTTCACAGTGAGTTCTACTTTTTTTTTTTTTTTACAGTGAGCGTAGACAAAAAGACTAGAACAAAATTTCAGTAGGTTCAAAATACCTGACTCCCCTACTAAAAGCGTATGTGTTGTATGCTCCAGGACTTTCCGAGCCACGCCAATTGCATTTTTAATTCTTCTGAGGTCTCCTACTGCTCCCACATCCATAGCAGTGCTGTAAGGCAACAATACGGGAAGATTTACGGAAGGCATTTTCTGTTGGTACTTGAGCAGAAAAATTGCATTTCTCTAAGCAGCAATATGTGGAAGGCTAAAACTCCATCTTACCACAGAAGCGAAAACAACCCGTAAAGTTCATGGATTCCCACAGACAAAATTAAAGAACAGAAAGTCAATTTACTGAATATCTCAACAGCTTATTTTAAACACGGCTTTTAAAAGAGGCCTTCAGGCTTGAGGTTACTGAAGCCACAGCAGGTACAGACGGCAGGTAAATCACTGGGTCAGGGGCACAGCTTTGGATTCCGGGCTTCTCATCAGCGAAAGCGACTTAACCACTTACTTTGCCGTGATGACCTACTATCAGGAGGACCTTTGGGTTTTGCTTTCTTTTTCCGGTTAACTCTTTGTGTTTAGAAAGGACAAGCATCATGAACGTGGAGTGGGCCACACTAAGGCGACCTCGCGCCTCGTTCTCAGAAGACCGCGCTCCTGAAGATAAGCCAGCCTGACATGAAAGCGCAGAGACACGTCCTGCAGAGTGTTCTTACCCATCCATGATCATGGCATCCAGGGTGGTTTCCCCAAGTTCATCGGGACTTCCTCCATAGCCTACTGTGCCATCGCACTGCTCCCTCTCACACACAGCACAGCCATTCTCAACCGCATCCAGGGCAGAACCTCCAGACTCTAATGTCCGCCATGCTGTTAAATTCCAATAGGGCTCATTTATAGGCATATATTTTTCAAAGTGAAATACAACAAGCCAAGAACATTTTGGAAGGCCTATTTAAGCTTTTTTTTTTTTTTAACATTTATATCATTAAGTCGAAATCTTAAATAATTTTATCAAATCGTACAAAAGTGCTGCAAGGAACTTAAAATGAGACAGACAAAATTATATCACTAGTTACTATCAAAAAGTCAAAGACCTCGGCTCTTAGTGGGAAGTGAGTATCTAACAATCTTATCAGTAAGTGTTTCTTCTAACAAATTCATCATCTTAAACTGGGCAGTGGTGGTGCACGCCTTTAACCCCAGCACTCCGGAGGCACAGGCAGGCAGGCAGATCTCTGTGAGTTCTAGGCCATCCTGGTCTACAAGAGCTAGGAGAGCTAGGGCTGTTACGCAGAGAAACCCTGTCTTGAAAAACCAAAACCAAACCAAACCAAACAAAACAACAACAACAACAAAAAAAAACAAACACGTCATCTTTAAGAGTGATAACTGAAACTCTTTGGAGACAGTTGAACTGAACAGCATTTTCAACTACTTTAACATTTCTTCATTACTTTGCTTTGTGAGATTGGGTTTTACCATTCGATCAAGCCCACCTGAAAATCCACCCACAGCCAATGCATGTCTAGAAGTCTGGATTTCCTACCACAGCTTCCGGAAAGCTGGGGTGACAGCCATGTGTCACACATTAGATTACTAAACTATTCATAACTAACTTGATAGCAATTGTGACAGACAACAGGTCCGACACAATATCACAACAGCAAACGACGTCACGTGGGCGAATAAATCTCATCTTCATGCAGCTTTGAGATAATATTTTAATTATAATTCTCGTTTTCAAGAGAAATGGATAGATGTGATTAAAGGGCACACAGTGTGTTTCAGAGGGTTCAAAAGCAGACACTTTCTCTAAGGTAGCCACATTTTTACGGTGTTTTGTGGACATTCATGTAGAGTGGGTATGTCTTGAAAGGGCAGCCACTTTACTTGTAAGTCTTTGAAGGTTTTTTTTTNGCTAATACAGAACTGTCCCCTGCACATGACATCGGACTTCCTTTGTTTATTATTGTTGGGGGTCTCTTTTTTTTTTTTTTGTCTGATTTCTCATTCTCTCTGATTCCTATGCATCCCCCACAACATACAAATTCTCCTACACTTAATTCTGTACCCAATTGTGCCCACAGATGTTTAATATGATAACAGTCTCAAATGTGACAGGGGGTTGAGGGCTGTAGGTTACAGACAGCGCCAAGAAACTTACGGATAATTTTAATGTATAATCAAGGGTGGAAGCTATCCATCAGTCTCAGTGACAAGGAAAACAGAACCTGCGTGGATCAACTGGAACCCAGAGAGTACTGGAGGAACAGAAGGCATTCACAAGAAGTGGCATGTGGGAGAAAGAACACATCATGCATGGTAAAAGACTGAGTGCCACAAAAAGTAAGGCAGGTTACCCTTGCAGAGCAAAGCAGGAAGGCCTGAGGGTCACAGGTCAGTTAACATGGTGCTGGGAGCAATAAATATGCCCGAACCTAACATGCAGCAGTGGCAGGGAGGATGGAGAAAGGGTCAGGTGCCAAAGCGATGCAGGGAGAAGACTGGAAGGAGGCCCGGGTTCTGCAGCTGGCTCCCTCGCCCCTATGTAACTTTATTATCAGGGCCAAGCGCAGCTTCCCGCAGAGGAGCTCGCACAGCGCGGCCACCCACCCCGGGCCGCCGCTCCGCACCTTCAGCCGTTGCATTCGTAAAAGGCCAAGTGTTGAGGACCAGGGGCAGGAGGCTGGAGCCCTGCGCCAAGGCGATGCCCAGCACCAACGGAAGGAGACGCAAAGGCAGATTCGACTTCCGCGCCATAGCAGAACGCCCAGCGGAGCAGCGCGAGAAAAGTCCCAGCCAGCCGCGCGCCCAGCGGGCCAGCACGAGAAAGGTCTCGGCCAGCGGAGACTCTAAACTCGTGATTCTCCTTTGGTCTCCAGCCAACTCCCTCAACTCTCGCGAGACGAGGCCTCCTGTGGGCCCCTGGAGGTTTTTTTTTTTTTTTTTTAAGTCTGGTGCTGTGGTTCTGTACTGGCCAGCTCTACTTATTTATTTATTTGTTTGTTTTTTTGTTTCCTTTTGTGCTCATGTGCTGATACATATACACATTTAGTTCTTTGCTAAAGTATAAAGTATACTGCTTAGCTCGCATTTAAAGGCAGACTGACCTCTTTGAAAATGAATATGAAATTATGCGCCCCTGAGTTGCACGACACGATCTTCTGATAGCTGACAGGTACTATTTGACTTCGACGTACTTGCCGACTTAGATGCACATTAAATGCTGAAAATCAGACCTAACTCATATTCAGGATTTCCTCAAAAATGGACAATGATTCTGAATACAGGTGCCGTGTTTTTGCTTAGGACCAGATTCGTTCGACGTGTGTTTGACACATACTTTCCATCATTTCTTCACCATAGCCTTTTGTAGGACGTCCTTCCGTTACAAACCCCTGAGCTGGAAGGGAAGGACATGCTGGGCAAATAGAAACTTACCCTTACCTTGGCCACTGAAGTGCAGACTGCTCGCCTCCAGCCAGGAACGCTAACTCCATTCTTTTCAGAAGGTATTTTATTTTACCTTCATGCCTGGCACCATTAAGTACTAAATAAATGTTTGAATAAAAGGAGAAATGGGAGCCTTACATGCGTGGTGCCGGCTGCTCCTTTTGATAATTCAGTTGGCGCGCAGATGTGTGAGCATGGACCAGTAATCCCATTGGGGCTCTGGGATGCTTGTCCAGGTAGCTGAAGGAAGACATAATTTTAAAGAGCATCTATAAATCTATCCAGACTGGTAAAATATGAACTACATGGGAGTTGTGAGGCTTAGAAAATCTTCAGGTTCTTGTTGAGTGGAAACCGAATCTGCAATTTAAACAGCATAAGATAGCCTAGAATTATCCCCAGGCAGGAAAGTGCTATTAAAAAGTTAGGTGTAATTAAAAAGAAACGACACATGATCTTTCTATGGGGTTTTGGAGGAGGCCCAAACTACTTGTGCTGTGCTAATGAGCATGAAGCTCATGCTAGGTGAGATGGGAAAGATGGATGAAACGGAATGAGAAAGCAAGGGAAACACTTATTGTCTTCGGAATTAATTTCCCGTAGCACCTGGGTTGTTATTTATAAGTTCAAAGAACTGAGACATGCCTTCAGAAATTATAAAATATAATACATGGAAAATTGATCTTAGTTCCTGCAGCTCGTTTTTTTTTTTTTTTTTTTTTTTTTTTTGGTGATATAATTCCTTCAGCTGAAAGAACCCACTCTTACACAGGCAACACGGCAAGACTGGCAAATTTAAGGGAACAAGAGAAGGGGGAAAACCCTCCCTTCTGGGATCTTATTTTGCCTTTTCTGCTGAGAGTCAAGAAGCTTCAACAAAACTGATAAAGAGATTTTATTTTCTGTAGAGATTTGTATTTTCCTAAGGACAGCTCAAACAAGAAGGGTAAAAATGACCGTCTTTACTTAGACCAGGTGTAACCTTGGATTTTTACAGTATTAACACCCCTAGCATATCCTTAGATGGACAAATTTCTGAGATTGAAGGACATTTTATTTAAATTTTATGTCTTTCTACATTATAACACCTTGTAAATTGTATTCATTAAGGAATGCAGCTTAGTCATATGAGCGGGCATGCACACACACACATACACACACTCACACACTCATTGTAAAAACACTCAAGCACAATTCTACTGAGAGAAACCTTTACCGTGTTTTGCAATTGTACACCATCATTAATAATCTCACTGACTTGGCTCAGGCTGGCTCATTCTCAAATTCGTTTCCTAGACCTATTCAAGGTTTGGGGTAACCCTAGGTTGGAAGGAAACTCAAGGTTTTTGGTAATAAGCTGTACTAGACTGTGCCTGACTTCTGCCCACTCCTGACAGCTCCTCACATGGTGTCCACTCTTTTCTTCAAATTCTCTACTTACTTGAAATAAAAGTCTTGTCTAAGAAAGTCACCTGGTCAACCGGGTGCTGGTGGCACACGCCTTTAATCCCAGCACTCAGGAGGCGGATCTCTGTGAGTTTGTGTCCAGCCTGGTGGTCTACAAGAGCGAGTTTCAGGACAAGCACCCAAACACGGTAAAGGTTTCTCTCGGTAGAATTGTGCTTGAGTGTTTTTACAATGAGTGTGTAAGTGTGAGCGTGTGTATGTGTGTGTGAGAAACCTTGTCTGTATTCTGTCAATCATGTTTTAAATAAACGCTGATTGGCCAGGCAGGAAGTATAGGCGGGTCAACCAGAGAGGAAGTAGAGGTCAGGCAATAAGAACGGGAGACTTCTAGGAAGGAGGAAGCCCTTTCCTCCTGAATCCTCCACAAATCTCAAAAGAAGCAGGATGTGACCTGCCCTGCTGAAAAAGGTACTGAGCCACGTGGCTAACATACATAAGAACAATGGGTTAATATAAGTTACAAGAGTTAACAAGAAGCCTGAGGTAATGGGCCAATCAGTTTATAATTTATGGAGACCTCTGTGTAATTTCTTTGGTACCTTGTTGGCTGTCGGAACAGGGCAGGACAGAAACCCCAACAAACCTGCCCTCATGTAACATAACTTATTATTGGCCAACTCTTACCTATTAATTTAAGCCATTTCTATTAATCTGTGTATCACTATGAGGTTATGGCCTACAGGCAAATTTCCAGCACATCTATCTCCAGTAGTGGCTCCATGGTGTCTTCCTGACTCTGCCTTCCTCCTCCCAGTATTCAGTTCCATCGTCCCCACCTAGCTCGGCTCCACCCTGCGCTGCTCTGTGCTAGGCTCAAAGCAGTTGTTTATTCATTAATGGTAATCACAGCACACCAAGGGGACTCCCACCTCACCTTCCTTTTTCCGTTTAATTAAAAAGGAAGGTTTTAACGATAACATAGTAAAATTACATATAACAAAACAGTTATTAAGCAGGAAAATTTAAAGACAATTCCACCTATATTAGCAGTTTGTCAGTCAGTCCCATATCACATAGTTTTCTTAGGATCTACCCCACTTTCTTATTTCAATAATTAATTATATGTAACAGATATGTAGTGTTGATGGTTTTTAAAAGCCAGCTATAAAATTATTTTTATTCAAATGTAGAATGCATCATTTATTTCTGTTTTGTAAAATGTCTGTATTAATCAGAGAAATGTTCTTGTAACATTTAAATTTAGGGCAACTGTATGGCAGCTCTGACTAGCTCATTTAATCTTCCAGAGATATGCTTTTCTTATCTATAATATGGAGATAATAATACTTTTGTTTTGCTTTAATGAATGAGGTAAGAGTTAGATGAACATTCAAAAAATAATTAAGTAATATGCTTTTGTTTGAATTAGCATTTAACAAATATCTATCAATTAGTGTCTGGGGGGAACAATCTGCATAGAATGTGGAAATACCCATGAAGTGGCTGGATACCTAGAATGAATCTTAAAGTGAGCACACAGATTTTTGACTGCATTAAATAGAAGCTCAAAATATTTTCCGTCCACTTTGGGTTGTCTGAATGTTAGTATTGATGTTTATGAAGCTGGTGCGTACGAGAGTTGGATGATTTCTGGATTCAAAATGCTTAAGTCTTTCCAAGAATTAAATCTCCTGTTGATCTTAAAAGCTGCTACAAATACTGTGTGTGTGTGTGTGTGTGTGTGTGTTCAAGGTTGATCGGTGGTAGTTGTGGGCAGCCGTAAATTCCCTCCTTTTCTGCTGAACTTCATGGCTTTCAATTTATCAGTCTCTAAAGGATGCAGAGTTGAGTCTTTCCTGATAGCATTTGAAGCTGTGGTTCTACAGAGGATTTAACGCTGTAGTTTGCAGGGAGTCTAGGTATTTCAAATCTCAGGCTTAAAACACTAAGCCATCCCCTCTGGCTTTTGCGTGGTTGCTGGGAAATCCATTTTAGAAACATGCCCATGTTTTGCTACTTGTTCAAAGCTGTAAACGTGACTTGGCATTGAAATAATAATTTCTTCTGCACAAGTCCCCACTGAACTATGGTTTATTTATTTGATTGGCATTTGCTCTTGTCAATTTCAGAACCTGTAAGTAAAGGTTTTTGCCGGTGTCAAAGCACAGTGATAACTGTTTCTAATTTGAATCTATTCTTTTTGCTAATCCAGGAATACTTAATGTTACCTGATTGTACATTCTGGATGCAATTAGAGTCATTATACAGAAATGTCATCTTATTATTCTCTGAGAAAAGAGTTTTCTTCCCTTCTGAGATATTATTTCTGGGTTATTCTCCCCTTCCCATACACCGTTTGTCACCCCAGTAGCAGATTCAAATCAGACACTTCCTTTTGACTTTTTAATCTTTAAAGTCATCTAAATGATATACAAGGACTGAAATAGTAAAATACTATGTTGGTCTTCACATGATTTTTTTCTGCTCAAACTAAATTTTCTGCAACATATTTTCAACTTGTAATCCTAATCATAGGCCATTGGTATGATTAAGTTGCTATACCAGGGATATGGCAGATCCCTGTATATAGTAGCCCTATTTTTAGAGCAGTTGTTTATGATGCTATGTTTTTTTTTTTTCCTAAAGGGGACCTATTACTCTAACAGAGGCCTAGGGCAACAGAACAGATTTCTTCTTATCTTCCTTCCAATTTAGAAATCACTTTGAAATATTAACATCAACAATAATTGTAAAGCTCCAAAGTAACAATGCCTTGTAGTAAATTTTATTAAATTATATCTATTGGTTAATCATAAATGCATATATCTTACATGGAATTATGCAGGTGATTTGTTCTTACCCTGTGGCTCACTTACCACCTGCAATTCTGGAATCTTCTATCAGCTTTATAGGTTTTCAGTTGCAAATACCAGTAGCTTTTACCTTTCTTTTTCTCGTTCTTTTCCTTCCTTCCTTCCTTCCTTCCTT